CTTTAACAAAACGCAAAATATAACGTGGTTTTCGCGGATGCGGTTTTAGGGTGGACCATGAGCTTCGTGGGAGGAGACCAAACCCGGGGAGCTTTCTGCGTTGGGGTCTTTGACCAGGTAGTAAGTAGTTATAACAAACTTTATTTGAATCTTTCTTTGGTCCTTTCGGTAAAGTCACGTAGAAAGAAATAAAATAAAATAATTAGAGTTGTGTTGTCTCTCTGCGTGCGTGTCTGTCTTTTGTCTCTCTCTCAAATTTCCTTCTAGCTGACGACGGTTGTTTGTGTTGCAATCGAAACGTCGTACTCTATTATTTAATGTATTTTCTCTCGAGTTATTCTAGTTAGAACAACTCCTAGTGGTGCCACCACGTGCCTCGTGAAAGTGAAATCCCTGGCACTGGTGGCTGATGGGCCCTGCCACCTCTGCACCGTCTCGCGATGCCCCGCCCACTCCCCCCCCCCCCCCCCCCGTTGAGAGGGGGGGGGGGGCGGATTCTTCGCTCTCTGATTGGCCAAGAGTTTTCCCGCCTTTTTAAAAATCTCTTTGGCGTCGAGCGCACTCGCGGTTTTCCCGCTGAGGAGCTTCGTTTACACAAGCAAATACTGTATATTTCTAACCAACGCGAAAGAAAACATCAAACAACCGACAATTAACGTCGACTAACACCAAGCCAGCACTGAGCGGCGTGGACAACTCACTTCGTGTGTGCGCAAGCACGACGTCTGGGCCAGTTTCCCCTCAGCCACGACTCAGAATCCACAACAACTGAGGTGTAATATCATACATTGCTGTCATAACTATTGTCTGTGTTAGCATAGTTGTGGGGGTGGTCAATTGGTGGTCCAATGTGTAACAACAATCGTTCGTGTCGTCATGGAGAATATAAGTAACATGGTATGATCAATGCCTTATTCACACATATGTACCTCCACGTTAAAACATTTTTAACACGTCCTTAAAAGTGCATCGTTTCAGGAACATTGTTTAAATTCAAGCAAACTACCGGTGTCGACGTCTCACATGGTAGTCAGGCTTCAACCAATGCTTGCGAACTGCGAGATTATAATCTTTATTTATACCGCAGGAGGAATTCGAAGAGCTATAAAGCTCTTGGTTCTTTCGGTAAAGTCACGTAGAAGGGAAATAATAAAATAATATGAAACAATAACAATTTTCACGACGTTTCCATTGCAACACAAGCAATCATCATCAGGTGTGAAATTCACAACAATATTTTTTATTTTATATTTTTATTGGTTTATATTTTTATTATTTTACTATTTCCCTTCTACGTGACTTTACCGAAAGAACCAAGAATATGAATCCCTGCAGTCACGAAAGCTTTAATTCAAAATTTACAAAGCTCTTGTTCAAGGGTGCCCCAGTAAGTAGGGGCACGGGGTAAGAACATTACAGATGTTAAGAAGTTATAGGCACGAATGCTCTTCCTTAGTCAAAGCTAAACTAAACAAATACAGCCCTACATCGGTAGGACATCTTCACTCATAAGAAATTCAGAACATCTTGTGAATGTGATCAAAGATATTAAACTTAACCCTAATGATATTCTGGTGAGTTTTGATGTGATTTCGTATTCACAAAGGTTCCAGTGAGCGAGTCACTTAAATTAATTGATACGCTGGTAAAGAATACAGGTTTACCAAAAGATATTCCGAAACTCGCTGAACATTAAATTTCGATTTAAAGCTTTCGTGACTTCAGGGATTCATCTTTCGGTAAAGTCACGTAGAAGGGAAATAATAAAATAAAAAAACAATAAAATTATTCTCACGACGTTTCGGCCACAACGCAAGCAGCCGTCCTCAGGTGAATTATTTTATTATGTTTTTATTTTTATTATTTTATTACTTCCCTTCTACGTGACTTTACCGAAAGAACCAAGAAGATGATTCGCTGAACATTGTTTGAATAACACTTTTACCTGTAGGGGCACGGGGTAAGAACGTTTCAGTGTCCAGATGTTATAGGCACGGATGCTCTTCCTTACGATATCGTTCCTTAGTCAAAGCTAAGTTATATTTGTATGCAGTATATAAGACAAAATAATCACAAGTAGTGACTAATCCCATATCTGCATTTTCCATAAATATGTAAATTCCTTTGTCAAGGCGCCCACCTCCACTAACCCAGCTTAAATATACGCTGCCAAGCTTGGTGGTGTTCATTCGGACGCTGTCTTTCCGACACCTGAGGACGGCTGCTTGCGTTGTGGCCGAAACATCGTGAGAATTGTATTTTATTATGTTTTATTTGTATTATTTTATTATTATTATTTCCCTTCTACGTGACTTTACCGAAAGAACCAAGAAGATGAATCCCTGCAGTCACGAAAGCTTTAAATCGAAAAATTGGTGTCTACCTGCTTATTTTCCAGGTACCATCACGATCGTGAGAGTACCGTATGCAACAATGACCGTGCTGTAACCTCTCTTGAACCGAGTGCGGGAGCTTCGACTCGTCACCTCTTGCAAGGTAAAGTTGTGGCGAGGAGGGAGGGGGTCACCATGCTATAAAATAATGAGAGACGTTTAATGTTTTGTTATTTTATGTAGGTACTGTACCTACATAAATGATGACTTGTGTCAATTCATGATAATACAGTGGTATGTGGTACTAACTTGGTCTTAAATTCCTACTTTACTCATGGCCTGCGTTGGTAAATGCAGAGATTATTGCGTGGTCGGTTACATTGGACCGTAGACTTGCTGTTATCTGTCCATAGTGGCTTAATATTCTTAAATGCAATACTCAGCTCTCCATCATCTCACCGAGTTTTCCCTCATCATAAAAGTTTACCTCAGTTCCTGAGACCCGTTCGTAAGTCGAATGGTTCGTCAGTCGCAACCCAATAATGCACTGAATTTAAATGCCCATACGGTCGGTGTCATAAAATTTGTTACGCGTCAACAAAAAAGGGAAGCATTGTTACAACTCATTAATAACAAAACATATTGTACATTTGCATTAGTAAGTACTATATAGTTATTAAAACATAAAATGAAGTAACATAAATAGAAAAAAAAATCAGTTTTACGTTTACTGACCTTGAATCCTGACACTGGCTTGCTTGTCCGAAGGGGCACAATGAGTCACCACAATTGCACACCACGCACGCACACACACAAATACAAAGATCTCGTGTATATCCTTAACAGACTGTTGAGGCAAGTGCTGTTAGCTAGCACCTATGAAGACCGGCATGGCACGTGAGGAGGTCGGTGGCCAAAAGTACGCGCGGCCGCCTTTGTCTCCTGAGTGGCGATGTTTACATACCGCACTAGATACTCATTTGAGGCTGAGTCGACCTAGGGGAGGCCCAGGACCGGATCAGATAATCGTCATTGGTGTTGACCATAAGCAGGAATCGTACTCGGGTCGTCAGGTTCGTAGCACAGCTTGCTAACCGCTGCTACACGACCGCTCCCCACACGCTCACTTTCACACACACGCTCACTCACTTTCATAGGCACAAATGTGCGCGCACACACAAACGCTCACTCCCCGTGCGAGGCTGACTCATTACATCTTGTGGAGGATCACTCCACTGAACAACATAGTTCCGCGCTTCAGTATGCAAGCCCAAGTTCGCGTTTTAAGTCAATGTAAAAAAATCAGGAAGCTGGTTCTTAAGTGCGGATGTTCGTAAGTCGGGCATTTGTATGTCGATAACTGGCTGTACTATCTTGATTTGAAGTTTTCGTGACTGCAGGAATCCATACTCTTTGGTTCTTTCGGTAAAGTCACGTGGGTAGAAACAATTAAACAAAACAAAAAATAACATATCACGACGTTTCGATCGCAACACAAGCGGTCGTTCTCAGGCGTAAAAAACAATCCAGCGAGAGAGCTGTTACAACAAGGTAATATAACCATGTTGTAACAGCTCTCGCTGGATTATATAACCTTGTTGTAACAGCTCTCTCGCTGGTTCAGCAGTTCCACTGCTGGATTATTTTTTCCTCCTGAGGACGACTGCTTGTGTTGCGATCGAAACGTCGTGATCATTTTTTTTACCTACGTGACTTTACTGAAATAACCAAAGAGTATACTGCCTGTACTCTTCTTCCAATGTATTTTGCTGTTAAACATGTGTTTTTCTTGCTTTTTTGTGCACATATCAGAACTATTATCTACCCGGAGCAATCAAAATGTCTACAGAAGACTGTTTAACATCACCTCACCATCAGGATGCTGATGTTTGTGATGAAGAGGACTTGATTGGACTTGCTACCACCACTTGTGATATGTCCGGTGTCTCTGGTGGATCTTCTCATGATGACCAGCAACAGCTGCACTTGAGCAATGCTAAATTTAAGGAGGAAGTTTTGAATGCTGAAGCCAGATGTCAACTCAATAGCCAAGATGCAGTCGATGACTTTTTCTGCACCAGTGAGTTTTATGAGGATGAAGAAAGTAACGAAGAAGTACATCTGATCAATTACATGAAGATGGCAGCATCGCCTATTTATGATATAATGTGTGGCGATGAGATTAATAACAGTGCAGATGATTCTGATAGTGATGCTATCTCACCATTGCCAAAATTTAATAGCTTATCTGTTTCAGCACTTAACGATTATATTGTCAGTGGTACTGGTTCCGAATCAAAACCAATTGTAGATAAACCATACCACGAGCCATCTAAGGGATGGACAACTGAAAGCTGTGCAGATGTACTAAGACATGAAGCAGCTTATGAAGCATTCAATTCATGTCACCCAAACACAAATTTCCGAGAATCTCAGGGTCCATATAAAGATGTACTCAGAAATGAAAACAATTTAATGCTGGAAAACTATGAGCAAGACAAAATTGTTGAGTTGCCTGGCATTGGTAATGAAGAGGTGTAGAGAAAATAATTTTTGTTGTACAGCCAGTCCATCCAATGCAAATCCTAAAGCAGAGAAAGGCATGCAAGATGGTGCACATTTCCAGTGACGGAAAGGTCATAAGTCAATCAACTCACTTCAGAAAAATAGTCACCCAAACACACATTTCCAAGAATCTCAGGGTCCATATAAAGATGTACTCAGAAATGAAAATAATTTATTGCTGGAAAACTATGAGCAAGACAAAATTGTTGAGTTGCCTGGCATTGGTAATGAAGAGGTTAGAGAAAATATTTTTTGTTGTACAGCCAGTCCATCCAATGCAAATCCTAAAGCAGAGAAAGGCATGCAATATGGTGCACATTTCAGTGACGGAAAGGTCATAAATAGTCAAATAAATACATCACATTGTGCCGCTGAACATGGACAAACCAAGAAGTTGGCGATGGTTGAAGAATATAAAGCCTCAAAAAATATTACATCACATATATCAGATTTGATGCAAGAGGACAGTTTAAAACCGTGCCTCCAAGATGGTATTTGTGATGTAAATGCCATACTCTCTAACACACTACCCCTAGATGTTGCAGTAATCAATACAGGTTGTTGTACGATTCAAGAGCAATCTGATATCAGAAGATGTACCAGAAATGAAAACTTTAATGCTGGAAAACTATGAGCAAGGACAAAATTGTTGAGTTGCCTGGCATTGGTAATGAAGAGGTTAGAGAAAATAATTTTTGTTTGTACAGCAGTCCATCCAATGCAAATCCTAAAGCAGAGAAAGGCATGCAATATGGTGCACATTTCAGTGACGGAAAGGTCATAAATAGTCAAATAAATACATCACATTGTGCCGCTGAACATGGAAAACCAAGAAGTTGGAGATGGTTGAAGAATATAAAGCCTCAAAAAATATCACATCACATATATCAGATTTGATGCAAGAGGACAATTTAAAACGTGCCTCAAAGATGGTATTTGTGATGTAAATGCCATACTTTCTAACACACTACCCTAGACGTTGCAGTAATCAATACAGGTTGTTGTACGATTCAAGAGCAATCTGATATTACAAAAGATGTTTTGCTTATGTATCAAAGCAAAACCAATGACTCACTTCAGAAAAATAGTATATCTTCAACTTGTGATAATTTATCTGATACGCAAGGTATGTACTCTGTTGATGATACTGCTGCAAACGTAAACATATGTGCAAGTAATGTAGTTGAAACCATTATTCAAAAACGTGTTTCAAAACAAAATGAAAAACAAACTATTCGACAAATAAGTCGAGCAGATATGACTAATTACATAGATAATTCCTTCCTTAGTCGGAAGCTTTGGAAATGCCGTCTTTGTAACAAGATCTATATGACAAAGGAAAATTTGATTACTCACATGATAACACACTGCGAAGCTGGAAAAGACAGTGGCTTTAATTTAGAAAAGTGTCCTATCGAAAAGCAATCTGTAGATGTTGAAAACAAGCCATTGCTTTTCAGTCCTAGTATAACAGGTGAAGGAGTTCATAAAAATAGTCCATGCTCATCTTGTGAGCAGATGCCTACCAAGCGGTGCACTCCAGTTCATGAAATTGCTATTTTAGAATGTCTCCCTAAACACAATGAGATAAATACATTTTCCCAATTAAATCGAGCATCTATGAACGATTACATCGACAACTCCTACATAACAAAAAAGTATGGCTGTAAGCTTTGGCAATGCCGAAAATGTGTAAAAAGATATACAACTAAGTACAATTTCGTGACTCACATGTTGACACACTCTAAAACTGGAAAATGCATTAGCTCAAATATCTTTAGTCATGAGCTTCAACAAAAAACGGAAGGTGGTGTGAAGAGTGCAATGTTGTTCAATTCCAATAAAATAAGTGAAGTCTTTCAGAAAAATAATCCCTGTTCAACTTTTGACCACTTGCCTATGGAGCAGAATTGTTCCTCTACTGAAGCATCTTCTACAAAGCCAGATCTATTTGCTCGTGGCATTGTGGATGGAGCTGTTGTTGCAGAATACGTCCCAAGACACAATGAGATCGTGACATTGTCACAATTATATGGAGCAGCTATGAACAATTACATCGAAAACTCCTACATAACCAAAAAGTATGGCCGTAAGTTTTGGCAATGCCGAATATGTGTAAAAAGATATACAAATAAGGACAATTTTGTGACTCACATGTTGACACACTCTAAAACTGGAAAATTAATTGACTTGAATTTCAAAAGTCATAAGATCCAAGAGAAAACGAAAGGTATTGTAAACCGTGCATTGTTTTTCAGTTCTAGTAAAATAAGTGAAGTCTTTCAGAAAAAGAATGCCTGTTCAACTTCTGAGCACTTGCCTATGGAGCAGAATTATTCCTCTCCTGAAGCATCTTCTACAAAGCCAGATCTGTGTGCTCGTGGCACTGTGGATGGAACTGTTGTTCCAGTGTACGTCCCAAGACACAATGGGATAATGAAATATTCCCAATTATATCGAGCAGCTATGAACAATTATATCGACAACTCCTACGTTACCAAAAAGTATGGCTGTAAGCTTTGGCAATGCAGAAAATGTGTAAAAAGATATACAACTAAGTACAATTTCGTGACTCACATGTTGACACACTCTAAAACTGGAAAATGCATTGGCTCAAATATCTTTAGTCATGAGCTTCAACAAAAAACGGAAGGTGGTGTGAAGAGTGCAATGTTGTTCAATTCCAATAAAATAAGTGAAGTCTTTCAGAAAAATGATGCCGGTTCAACTTTTGACCACTTACCTATGGAGCAGAATTGTTCCTCTACTGAAGCATCTTCTACAAAGCCAGATCTATTTGCTCGTGGCATTGTGGATGGAGCTGTTGTTGCAGAATACGTCCCAAGACACAATGAGATCGGGACATTTTCACAATTATATGGAGCAGCTATGAACAATTACATCGAAAACTCCTACATAACCAAAAAGTATGGCCGTAAGTTTTGGCAATGCCGAATATGTGTAAAAAGATATACAAATAAGGACAATTTTGTGACTCACATGTTGACACACTTTAAAACTGGAAAATTAATTGACTCGAATTTTAAAAGTCATAAGATCCAAGAGAAAACGAAAGTTATTGTAAATCGTGCATTGTTTTTCAGTTCTAGTAAAATAAGTGAAGTCTTTCAGAAAAAGAATGCCTGTTCAACTTCTGAGCACTTGCCTATGGAGCAGAATTATTCCTCTCCTGAAGCATCTTCTACAAAGCCAGATCTGTGTGCTCGTGGCACTGTGGATGGAACTGTTGTTCCAGAGTACGTCCCAAGACACAATGGGATAATGAAATATTCCCAATTATATCGAGCAGCTATGAACAATTATATCGACAACTCCTACGTTACCAAAAAGTATGGCCGTAAGCTTTGGCAATGCAGAAAATGTGTAAAAAGATATACAACTAAGTACAATTTCGTGACTCACATGTTGACACACTCTAAAACTGGAAAATGCATTGGCTCAAATATCTTTAGTCATGAGCTTCAACAAAAAACGGAAGGTGGTGTGAAGAGTGCAATGTTGTTCAATTCCAATAAAATAAGTGAAGTCTTTCAGAAAAATGATGCCGGTTCAACTTTTGACCACTTGCCTATGGAGCAGAATTGTTCCTCTACTGAAGCATCTTCTACAAAGCCAGATCTATTTGCTCGTGGCATTGTGGATGGAGCTGTTGTTGCAGAATACGTCCCAAGACACAATGAGATCGTGACATTTTCAAAATTATATGGAGCAGCTATGAACAATTACATCGAAAACTCCTACATAACCAAAAAGTATGGCCGTAAGTTTTGGCAATGCCGAATATGTGTAAAAAGATATACAAATAAGGACAATTTTGTGACTCACATGTTGACACACTCTAAAACTGGAAAATGCATTGGCTCAAATATCTTTAGTCATGAGCTTCAACAAAAAACTGAAGGTGGTGTGAAGAGTGCAGTGTTGTTCAATTCCAATAAAATAAGTGAAGTGATTCAGGAAAATAATGCCTGTTCAACTTCTGAGCACTTGCCTATGGAGCAGAATTGTTCATCGACTGAAGTATATTCTACAAAGCCAGATCTGTGTGCTCGTGGCACTGTGGATGGAACTGTTGTTCTAGTATACGTCCCAAGACACAATGAGATAATGAAATTTTCACAATTATATCGAGAAGTTATGAACAATTACATCGACAACTCCTACATGACCAAGAAGTATGGCCGTAGGTTTTGGCAATGCCGAATGTGTGTCAAAAGGTATACGACTAAGTACAATGTTGTGACTCACATGTTGACACACTCCAAAACTGGAAAATTCATTGACTCGAATTTCAAAAGTCATAAGATCCAAGAGAAAACGGAAGGTGTTGTAAACCGTGCATTGTTTTTCAGTTCTAGTAAAATAAGTGAGGTGCTTCAGGAAAATAATGCCTGTTCAACTTCTGAGCACTTGCCTATCGAGCAGAATTGTTCCTCTCCTGAAGCATCTTCTACAAACCCAGATCTGTGTGCTCATGGCACTGTGGATGGAATTATCATTCCAGAATATGTCCCAAGACACAATGCGATCGTGACATTTTCACAATTATATCGAGCAGCTATGAACAATTACATCGACAATTCCTACATAACCAAAAAGTATGGCCGTAAGCTTTGGCAATGCCGAATATGTGTAAAAAGATATACAACTAAGTACAATTTTGTGACTCATATGTTGACACACTCTGAAACTGGAAAATTAATTGACTCGAATTTCAAAAGTCATAAGATCCAAGAGAAAACGGAAGGTGTTGTAAACCGTGCATTGTTTTTCAGTTCTAGTAAAATAAGTGAAATCTTTCAGAAAAAGAATGCCTGTTCAACTTCTGAGCACTTGCCTATGGAGCAGAATTGTTCCTCTACTGAAGCATCTTCTACAAACCCAGATTTGTGTGCTCGTGACACTGTGGAAGGAACTGTTCCAGTATACGTCCCAAGACACAATGAGATAATGACATTTTCACAATTATATCGAGCAGCTATGAACAATTACATCGACAACTCCTACATAACCAAAAAGTATGGCCGTAGGTTTTGGCAATGTCGAAAGTGTGCCAAAAGGTATACGACTAAGTACAATTTTGTGACTCACATGTTGACACACTCCTAAACTGCAAAATTAATTTCCTCGAATTTCAAAAGTCATAAGATCCTAGAGAAAACGGAAGGTATTGTAAACCGTGCATTGTTTTTTAGTTCTAGTAAAATAAGTAAAGTGCTTCAGAAAAAGAATGCCTGTTCAACTTCTGCAGCACTTGCCTATCGAGCATAATTGTTCCTCTCCTGAAGCATCTTCTACAAACCCAGATCTGTGTGCTCATGGCACTGTGGATGGAACTGTTGTTCCAGAATACGTCCCAAGACACAATGGGATAATGAATTTTTCACAATTATATCGAGCAGTTATGAACAATTACATCGACAGCTCCTACATAACCAAAACGTATGGCCGTAGGTTTTGGCAATGCCGAATGTGTGTCAAAAGGTATACGAATAAGTACAATTTTGTAACTCACGTGTCAACACACTCCAAAACTGGAAAATCCCTTGGCTCGAATTTCCAAAGACATAAGATTCAAGAATAAACGGAAGGTGGTGTGAGCAGTGCATTGTTTTTCAATTCCGGTGAAATTAGTGAAGTGCTTCAGGAAAATAATGCCTGTTCAACTTCTGAGCACTTGCTTATAGAGCAGAATTGTTCCTCTCCTGACGCATCTTCTACAAACCCAGATCTGTGCGCTATTGGCACTGTGCTTGAAACTGTTATTCAAGAATATGTCCCAAGACACAGTAAGATAATGACATTCACACTTATATTGAACAGCTATGAACAATTACATCGATAACTCCTACAAAACCAAAAAATATAGCCGTAAGTCTTGGAAATGCTGAATGTGTGTCAAAAGGTATACGACTAAGTACAATTTCGTGACTTATGTTAAGACACTCTGAAAATGAAAAATTAATTGGCTCCAATGTTAAAAGTCAAAAGATCCATGAGCAGACAGGTGAAGTGCTTCATAAAAATATTGCATGCAAAAACTTTGATAAGTTGTTGGCTGATCAACATTTTTCCACTGAATTATCTTCCAGAAACAAAGATTTTTGTGCAAATAGTAAAATGTATGGAATTATAAAAGAACACCATTCATTTGGTCAGATGAGTGAAAGAAATGTACAATTACATAGATGATTCCTACAAAGGAATCACAGTGTTTGGTAAAAATATTTGGCGATGCCATATTTGTGATAAAAGCTACATATCCAAGTACAATTTGGTGACTCAAGTTCACTCATCAATTCTAGAAAAAAATGTTCAAAGGGTAAAAAGCAGTTTTCTATGCACTTTGCCTTGACAAGACACTTTCAGAACAAGTGTCGCACTCTCTAATACAATTGCAAAGTCTGTGAAAAGGCCTTTTCAAGTCGATGGATGCTCTCCCATCACCTGGCTACATATAGATGTAGCCAGGTGATGGATTCGCGAGGGTTACGTTTTTTAAAACGCTCGCTTAAAACATCGGGGAGGAATGGTGAATGTTCCGTACAATAAATACAGATTAAATTATAAAGAACAATGGTTTGTATTACCTTTGATGAGAGAGGAAAGTGCAGATGCAATTTCTTCTCTCATTGGAGCAATTAACAAGCAAGTATGTATAAAGTAAAATGCACAATAGCGAGTTCAGAGGATCTTTAAGGTAGTATATATTCGTGGTACACGGGATTTCTGCGGGACTAAGAACAAAGTTGGCAGCCAAGGGGGTGCCTCATCTTCGCAGACAGTTTCAATTTAAAAATTCTGTGCGCACCTCCCTGGTGTCGATGGTCTGGCAGATACACTCGCAAATACTGGAGTCCAGCCAGTCGCGAATAGGGAATTAGTATGCATTAAATTACTCTAATCCAGAACGTGTGAATAGTGACGGTTTGCTGTATTGCATTGGCAGCTCATGGCTCCCGTGTTCTGGTCTCAGGTGAATTGCACAGGTGGATGAATTTATAATTGGAAAGGGAAAGCAATGCTTAAGAATGCACAATTACACCAGTTCTCCAGGGAAGGTGCGTTAAATCCACATGCTCATATGGTGGGAGACAATCCGGACACCTGTATAGTTAGCATGTTTTCCGTTCTCACGTGGATTTTTCTCATGATCCTCTAGTTTGTATCTCCACATTTAGAATCCACGTGCATTTAGAGTATTTGGCTGCGATAAATTTCCACACGATAAGCCACTTCGTTGAGCTGGCATTTGTGGCCAGGTCACTTCTAAAAAAGCTATATAGCTCAGTGAGCCTTACCTGGTAAAATATTTTTGTAATAGTTTAATAGATTTCCAATACTATCACCACGAGCCTCCAATGCTATATCATCCATGGGCTAGATCAGAAATTGGTACGATGTAAGATAGCAAAACTTTTAGTCATATTAATTTATGTACAGGGGTAATACGAGTAAATTATTTTTTATAACCCACTCATTTCAAATTGTTATCACTTAATTCACTTGTTGGCTGCAAATAAATGGCAATCACTAAAGTTATGCCAGCTCAGGTGGTAGTGAAAAATAATATATCTGGTGTGGGTTGATATATAAGACAGTCCAAACATGAAAATGTAAGAGTAAAAAAAGCAAATCTTACTTGCAGAATTTGTTGTTTTGAAGAGACACTGAATTTGACTTGTCTTTTTTAAAGTATGCACATTAAAATAAAATTTTCTGTATTTACTAATTTTCACAATGTAATATAGTTCAAAAGCTACTGTGTTTTCATTGATTTTCCATGACCAATGTTCTCACTTGAGATGTGGATTGTGTTCATTATGTTCATGTGGCCACAACGTGCACCTAGCCTGGCACAATGTCTGGTGACGTCACTGCTACTTAGCGGAGAACAGCAGTTGTTATATTTCATGTTTTATTCCTGATTAGAATTGTATAATTAAATATGGGAATTAAAACATTTTTAAATTACAAACTGGGAGTGCGATGGTTATTTTTAATATTGTTTCCTATACTGTATACACTACACTTTATTCAAGCTTTATTATAAGTTGTTGACATTTCCTTAAGATGCTGTTATGCAATCATAATGTTCTCACATATTGAGACTTTTTATAATGGCACTGAGCAATTATTTTGGGGTATTTTTGTTGCAAATCTTGTTGCTTTATCAGCCAGTTTCAAAATAATCATACAGCAATCAATCTCTGGCACGTGTAAGGGAATAATGCTTTGTGAGGAACAGGGTCACCAGTCAGACATATCGTTGGTTACTATGGCTTGTGTTCTGTCTAGCCTCATCAATCGCTCGCGAAGGTGTGACCAGTGTGCCATAATATTCTAACAACATGGAGCACAGTTTCAAATGATGCCAATACATAATCATCAACACAAAACACTCGAGTATGAAACTGGGTGTGTAAATAAATCAAGGGTCACATGTTATTAGCTATATTTCCACTGGATGGCAGTCTTTTTACTTACCAGGATGGGTGGATTCTTACCATATCCTTACCTGCTACAAATAATACGGTACTGCCATAGCCTCTTGTGCGGGTAGAAAATATCAGCTTTCAAAAACCACACGATCTAATACATCTTTACACAAGGAAGGCATTACAGTAATGGCGTTTGTAATGTAACACATTACTGTAATACCCTTTCACGAAATGTCTTATGGCCTAAATTGGGCGTGAAAGGATATTCTTATTGTAAAATCTTCCATGACATGGCATGTATAATTATAAACCTGAAATATATCTTTTAATGGCTAAAGATGTGTAACAGTCTACAATGCTCGATGGTTATTTAAAAAAATAAGTATGACATGTAAAAAATCGTTAATGAGATCAGTTACAGAAAAAAATGTTTTACATTGGTATAATCTGTCAGCAGAATACACAATGCATGTATTATAGTAGCACTGATAATTGGTTCTTTACCCTTCTATCTGGCAACAAAACTGACACCTTTTTGCAAGGAGTCATGTTTGCATAGACCGCAATACCTGCAGTCATAATACAAACAAAAGAACATAACTCTGATAATGTGCACCGTCCTTGAAGTTGATTGGTCCACACCCGAGACAGCTTTCCTTCGAGCCTAGTCTCATATGGGTTGGACCAGATGACGCCAAAAGGCGCACAACTCAAGGACAATGCACCATCAGAGTATGAGAGCTCGGGGCAAGCATCTACACTATGGGGACCTCATTTGCCAGTAAAAATATGATAATTGATTCTTTACCCTTCTATCTGGCAACAAAACTGACACCTTTTTGCAAGGAGGCGGCCCTCTGGCTGCCGTGCGTATTGAGCCAGAGGGCCGCCGTCCACGCGGACGTCCGAAGAAGCGATGGATGGACCGAATAAAGGAAGACATGAAGACGGTCAACGCATCCCCTGAAGATGCCCTGGACCGAGCCAAATGGAGAAGACAATGCCGAAAAGCGGACCCTGCGCCACAGCGGGAACAACGCTAGGAAGAAGAATCTGACCTGACCAAGGAGAAGAAAGAGCAAATGCTACGAGATACAAACACTACTCTAACCAATGTTGTCAACACACTGCAGAATGAAGGCTTTTTCACGCCGTGTCAGTCATGACCATACTTAACTTTTATTGTAGTGATGGATTAGTGCAGTGGGAAACTCAGGGTGTATTCATATATTGTTCACCAGAGTTATTATACATGGCTTGGGCATCAAACTCGGGTCACAAGGTGCATGGCACAGTGGAACTGACTCCATGCCAATTAAAGCACATAGTGACAGGAAGTCGGCCAAGAAAGCTGCAAATATATTTTATCTGTTGTGATAAGAAATATGGTTATTTTGGGATCCATTAGATCCAAGCAAATAATCTAATTTAAATTAAGTTTACAGTAAAAACAACTTGGGGTGGATTGGTGGCATAGTGGTTCGTGTACTGCACTATGAACCTAGCGACCCAAGTTTCATTCCCTGCCATGGCTAACATCAGTGAACTGGTCCAACCTGTACTGACCAGTGTGGTGAAGTATGGTCAAACACCCCCCCCCCCCCCCACCATGACCAACAGTGAGAGGAGGCTGTAAATTATACAGCAATACAGCACTATATTTCATGACTTGGTTTTCCTTTGTCAGGTTACCTACACAACATGAACTCTCAAACACATGGGGTAGGCAACATTCAGGGCAGCACACAACTGTAATTGACAACTCGGAACAAACCATATTTATTTGGACAGCGCTAAAAGGCTGGACCTAGGTAATTGGGAAGAGATGTGGGAAGCGCATGAGTAAATGTGACCTCATCTCAAGGTGACCCTCGGCGCCAATTACGATTTCTATCGAGGGCGAAGCCGATGACGTGCAGTGCGCTCGCGCGGCCCATCTGTGTCACTGTATCAGAGGATGTCAGGCTCCCAACAACACTGCCGCCATCTATTTTGGAACAGCAGCAGCTCACTCCAACAATGCTACACTCTCCCAGCCCCATCCATACCCTGGCTATTTCAATTAGCTTCATTTTTTAAATGCTGAGCTAGTACGAAACATTCCGGCATTATTGTACATAGTGCACTACTGTACATCTTAAGCTACAGTAAAAAAAATATCCATTAGCATTGATGAACAAATTGAATCAGTCCCCGCTGTGGCTTTGTGGTACGTTGATAAAAGCTCCATTCCGATGTTGCCAAGCAAAAGGCTCATAATATAATTTACAATAATCTGTTTAGAAAATAATAAAGCATAGCAGTGCTCTGTTACTGCAGGAAGAGCATCCCATGATTCTGTCGATTAGCCTTAAATTACCAGCCATGTCATTGATGGAACAAATAGGTTAACTCTCTATCAAAGTGCATCTGCAGTAATGTATACATGTGAGATGCAATTAATTCTTTAAATAGCTGTGTTAGCTAAAGGAAAAGCCTCAATGAATGATTTGTATAGGGGGAACCTCTGTTACTGTTGCCATGCCACAAGTAGGTCACTCAGCAGAAAGACCAACGAAACTGAAATTAAGTCCACATATAGATATGCACTATGCTTACATTTGGGTGCCTTGGTACGAAAGGGGTTAATGAAGTTACAACCAATTACACACATTCCTCACGAGCAAATAATAAAAAAAAGATGTTACTTCCATCTCATTTCCTTTGACTCTTTCGAGTAAGAAAGGAATTAGACTCCTACAAGTTTTTATCAGCAATCCTTTGTTCATTTATTGTACTGGGACCTCAATAAGTCTATTTAGCATTGCATAAAGCAGATGTGGCTAGCTTTATTAGATGAGGCACTTTTTTATTGTGATACAACACCAGATGATTTTGGTATATATTTAGGGTTTACCGCACCACAATATTGAGATTATTATGCACTTGAAGTATTCATTTTGACGAGGGAATTTCAATGTTTGTTCTGAGACTTGAGTTTAAGTAAATCTCAGTGGCATTGATGGCTTATGAGTCTTAATACTAAGAACGTCCCAGAATTGTATGGGTTTCTTCAAAGACATTGCACCGTAAAAATCCGGATTTCCATAATCGCTCAAGAACATGTATTAGAAAAAAGTAAGTGGCTACTACGAGCATGCAGACGGGACCACTGAGAGCATGACACTGACGTTTGTGGGTATTACATCGCATGCAAATTTTTAAGAATCCAGTCCTACACTAGCTCTGGTGGAGTGGATGAAGCGGTAGCGCAGTAGTCATTACACATTGCTGTAAACCCAGCATATATTATCAGATGCATATATTATCATAGTATGTTTTTTGTTTGCATTCTGACCACAAGTATTGTGGTTAATGCAGACATGATTCCTTGTAAAAGGTTTCAGTTTGGTGTTTTAACATCTGAACACCTGCTTTGTTGCCATAAAAAAGGGGAAAACCTATTCTCAGACTCTTGACTATTTAGTCTTTTTTTAGCGTTAATTCAATCAATTGTGCAATAAAGGCTAATTGCATTGCGGTTCATTTGTTCGCCTTAGACGAAGTATGCATAATCAAAATCAGGTTTCACGGTAAGAGTGATTGATTATTACATTGCAATATTTGGACAAATCCCTTTTATGTTTTAAATCCTTCATCCTTTTTACGGACGGCAGCCTTTAGGAGGTGGAACAGATTGTGAAACTGCATTCGTGGATTGCACCATTATTTAAATGTACCATCACTATGAAATGTATTGCACAGATAGTGATTTTGTCTTGGCCAAATACTGTTTAAAAAAAAATTCACACTCACCATCTGGAGGCCTTCATCCAGGAATGGATAGACAAGGGGCCGTAAATATTTATTTATATTTAAACATTCCTGACATATAGGATAGAAATCTTTACCCTTTAGATGACACTAAGCACCAAAGCTGCGTAAGAACTTGCATCCCTGAAGCCAATTTATGCAAATCGGTACTACATTTGTTCCAATTCACAGATGTTTTTTCCTCTCTGCTTTGAACATGCGTAACGTACCTCAACCGATATAAAACCCTCAGAGCAAGGGTGATAATCCTTAATCTAACTTCTGCAGACGTACATTGTAGCTACCAGCGTGAACTGCTAATGAAAAGGGGCTGCACAGTAGTGGACAAATAATGCTCTTTACGTCTGAATTGTTTGCAATTTTTACATGAATCACCTCTTCTGGCAAAGCAAAAAT